CCCCGAAGAACCTACTTACGTACCCCACGTTCAATTCTAACAAGCTTTGTTACCTGGCCTCCCAGCCCAAACTACACCCCTTTTATAATTGCTACCTCTCCCTCCAGACTGCAAGTCCTTAAGTGCCTGTTCAAGAGTGACTCCCTAATACAGCTCCTGGCAGAGTAAGGATTCAATTACTGTATTTGCCGATCAAATAAATGAAGATTAGAAGAAGTTGGTGGGGGAGGTGTCGCCTGTCATTCTCAACAACAGCCATAAACTGATTTCAGGATGAAAAATTAAAAACATACCTCCGTAACCTTTTCCCTTTTAGATGCCCAGATACATTCAGTTGCTGAAAGTCTGTATAGTTTTTAAGCTAATATTCTTCCATTCAATAAACTAGACAATCCAAATTGCAAATTATGTGTGAGAAAAGGATCCCTGCCCTTCTGCTACTGCACCTCTCCCCCCAGCCCCCCAGGAAGAGAAACACTCACCCATTTGGGTCACAGTCCAGAGCACAGAGAAGCCCCCTTTCCTAGCAGGCAAGGGTCTCTGTGATAAAATGTTAAGCACGGAGTACACCTCTCTCTCGCCCTAAAGGGGCAGAACTGGCAAACGGATCCAGGGCTAACTCTCTGGAAGTAGGTCTTCATTACAAAAGGAAAAAAAAAAAAGATCATGATGAAGCTGGCATCTAAAAACAGAACTGACAACTGACAGGATGGGAGCAGAGGGGATAAAACTCAAAACTCACGTTACAGACAGTAGGCGCAAACAACCCAAAACAGCCAAGAGCTGCCCAATATTGGAACACATTTTCAAGAGGTAAAGGAAAAACGTTTCCAAATTATATTATAAAATCAATTAAAATTTCTTCTAAAGCTCAGTCTTCAGGGGCGCCTGGGTGGCTCAGTGGATTAAGTGTCTGACTTCAGCTCAGGTCATGACCTCACGGTTGGTGGGTTCGAGGCCCGCATCAGGTTCTGTGCTGACAGCTCAGAGCCTGGAGCCTGCTTCCGATTCTGTGCTTCCCTCTGTCTCTGCCCCTCTGCCGGTCGCACATGCACTCTCTCTCAAAAAAAAATAAACATTTTTTTCTCCTCTTTTTTTTTTTTTTATTTATTTCTAGGAGAAAGAGAGAGAGAGAGAGAGAGAGAGACAGCGTGGGCAGGGGAGGGTCAGAGAGAGAGGGAGTCACAGACTGAAACAGGCTCCAGGCTCTGAGCTGGCAGTCAGCACAGAGCCCGATGCGGGGCTCGAACCCACGAACCGTGAGATCATGACCCAAGCGAAAGTCGGGAGCTTAACCAGCTAAGCCACCCAGGCGCCCCTCAAAAAAAAATAAACATTAAAGTTCAGCCTTCAGGCACCTGAAAATAATGTATGCACAGCAACTATCCCCACTACTAAGTAATCTCCAGGAAAGGATCGAGGCGCCACAAAGCCAGAGCTCACAGATCACCTGAAGGATTCCTTGGCCAACAAGTAGTGGTTATGACCTGTGGTCTTGAACAGCGGTGCCAAAACCTCGCTGCACTTCATTGCTCCCTGGGGAGCTTTCTAAAAATATATTCTTGGGGCCCCTGGGTGGCTCAGTTGGTTGAGCATCTGACTCTTGATTTCAGCTCAGGTCGTGATCTCACGGTTCATGGGATTAATCCCATGTCACATCAGGCTCTGCACTGACAGCAGGAAGCCTGCTTGGGATTCTCTTCCCCCCACCCCTCTGCCCCCTCCAGGCTCACTCTCTCTCAAAATAAATAAATAAAACCTTAAAAAATATATTCTCAATACCACCACAAAATTCCAGAAGTGGGATCCATCATCCATGGTCTTAAAAATGTCCCAGGGTCGCCTGGGTGGCTCAGCTGGTTAGGCAACCAACTCTTGATTTCAGCTCAGGTCATGATCTTGCTGTTTGTGGGAGTCTCCCGCCCTCTCTCTCTGCCCCTTCCCTGCTCACATGCACACAGTCTCCCTCTCTCAAAATAAAGAAACATTTTAAAAAATGTTCCAAGTGATTCTAACGTGTGCCAGCCTAGCATCTATCTAGAACAGAGTTGCTCAACTCCTGCACTATTAATACTGGGGGCTGGGTAAGTTTAGGGCGCTATTTTGTGCATCACAGCATATTTAGCAGCATCCCCGCTCTCCACCTTCTATGGAGAAGCCAAATTGCACACTGCCCACCCCCACAGTTAGGACATGCAAAAATGTCTCCAGATGTCGCCAAAGGTTTCTTTGGGGGCAAAACTGCCTCCCAACTACCAAACACTTATCTAGAGTAAACCAAAAACCAATTACTTAAGATTCTCTTAAGGAAAAAAAGAAGAAGGCCACTTGAAGCCAAGAGTCCAGATTCATTTTTTTCAGTCCTTCTCACCTAAGAAAAGTAGCTAACACAGTACTTGGTCCACAATGGGACTCGGACTTTGACCTATGAGAACCACACCACAGCCTCTTATGTTTTTTTAACGAAATAATCTCAATGCTGAGTTTTAGGTAAGTAGATAATTAGAAGAACTTCACTGTCACGACTACCATTTGTTCTTTTTAGGGGTAATGAGACATTTATAAAATTTTAGACCAATATACACTTAGGCTGCCTCTCAATTATCCAAAATATGAAACTGCAAGAAGTTCACAATGGCAACAAACTAAATACCAATCCTGACAAATACGGTTTTAAGAATGAGATTTTTGTATAGTAACTAACTGGCATCTAAAACTTTTTTTTTAATTAAAAAAATTTTTTTAGTGTTTTATTTATTTCTATGAGAGAGATAGAGACAGGATGAGCAGGGGAGGGCCAAAGAAGGAGGGAGACACAGAATCCAAAGACAGGCTCCAGGCTCTGAGCTAGCCGTCAGCACAGAGCCCGACGTGGGGCTCGAACACACGAACCGTGAGATCATGACCTGAGCTGAAGTCAGACGCTTAGCTGACTGAGCCACCCAGAAGCCCCTAAATCTTAATTTTTTTGTTTTTACCATTCGTTTTCTGTCCAGCTGTGGTCCGATTCTCAAATTCACGAGTAGTTAATTCAAACTAGCAAGTTTTTGTTTTGTTTTGCTACAAAAGCTAAAGTTTTGTTTTGTTTATACAAAAGCTAAAGTTTTCTACTCCAAAATAATCTTCTTTCTGTTCTTAAGTTACACCGGCAAGATGCTCACCTAGACTCCCTCACCAGACACACCGAGAGGCCAAACAGCTTCCAAAGCTTCTGCAGGAGAACAGTTACTTCCCACACTAGGCTCACTGAAGTACGTGCCAGTACACAGCATCCCTGCAACCTCAATAACCTGGAGAACACGAGGAACCCTGGAGTTGACAGAGTTGGGGACCCATCACACCGAGGACCTAGGATCCCCACATGAGCAGGAACAGAATCTGACCCGAGCTCCTGAGGGGCTTTTCTTCAATAACCACCTCCTGGCAAAACATTCCGAGACACCACCATGGGTTTACCACTTCAGGACAATTTGTGATTGAATGAATCTTCAATCACCCTTCCCCTGAAAAAATTAAAACAACTTCCAGCTCATTTTCTCCTCAAAGCGGAGTGTGAAATACACAGAGCTTTCTAAAAACAGTCACAGAGAAAGCCAGGGCTTCCACGCTCATCTGACTTCTTAAGAGTAATCTAAACATTTAAAAACCAAATTTAAATTGGTAATAATAGCCACTAATCGCACTAAGCTGATTCTGCACGCCAGGCACCGCTTCTAACTCGTTTCCCCCCCCACGAACTTACGAGATAGACCATTATCATTGCCGTCTTACAGCGAAAGCAGAGAAGCCGAGTAACTTGTCCAAGGTCACGGAGCCAGCAAGTGCTGAAGCCGAAACCGAACGCCAGCCACTCGGACTCCGCGGTAAAGACAAGCTGAAGCCCCGCCACCGCTTAGGAGACGTTCACTCCAGCGGCTGCAAATCTGGAGTCCCTCTCCCACTCGCTAGCCCACCTGCAACGTGACCTTGACGACACGAATCAAAGTAAACGTCCCATTAACAAAGTGGGACAAGATCTACAGTAACAAGTGCGGTGGGGACGGAAGGAAAACCACCAAGCGTCCCTCCCGTAAAAGCAAAACATAAACAAAGCTCTAGCCGACCGCAGAGAAAGCGTTAACAAGAAGCGGGGGAACCACGGGAAGCCCGGAGGCTGGAGCGTCGGGACACGGGGATACTTGCGAGGACCCCCTCGGTGCTCTGACAACCGCCAAGTTCAAGGTGGGCTGGGAGCGAGCAGCACCGGGGAGGAAAGCCCTCCAAGTCCACGGCGGGCGGGCTGCTTTAAGAGGGAGGTTCTTGCGGCCGCACGAAGGACCACCCCCCCTTGCTTATATTCGCCAGGGAGGCGTTCGTGACCAGGTCGACATTCGAGTCACAACACCGGAGTTAAGAAGCCGCTCGGAAGGCGACTTTCATACTCCGAACCGCGTCCGGCGTGTCCCGATGCCTTTGCGGCCCGCAGGGCACCACCACACAGAACTTGTTTCCCGCAGAACGGAGCCCGACAATGACCGTCGAGAGTCTACGGCGAGCTGCCGCCTCAACTTGACACGCTCGCGGGCCCGCGCCCGGATAAGTTGTCCCGGGCGGACGGCCGGGCCGGAGCCGAGCGGGGCCCGGCGGGTTAGGGGCGCGCCCCGCCCGCCGCCGCCGCCGCCGCGCCAGGCCGCGGACGCCACCCCGGGCGCAAAGTTCGCCGCCGGTGCGCGGCCCGCCCCGGCGCCCAGCCCCGCCAGGCCCCCGCGGCCCGCGGCGGGCGAGCGGGCGGCTGACAGGCGCGGGCGGGGACGGGCCGCGGAGCCCGGGCGCCGCGCCTCCCCGGCCGCCGAGCGGCGAATTCCGGGGGGGAGGGGAGGGGGCCGGGACGCTCCCTCCCCGCGCCGCCGAGGCCGGGCGGAGGGGGGGGGGGGGCTCGCCGCCGCCGCCCGCGCGCCCCGCGCACCCCGCGCACCCCGCGCCACGGCCCGCTCCGCCGCCCCCACCCCCACCCCCATTACCTGGAGGTGCCCGCGACCCGCCGCTAGTTGCGCTCAGGCGGGAAACGCGCTCACCGACACCATCAGCGAAGCGCCCAAAATGGCGGACGTATCAAGCAGGCCTTGAGTTCCCCCCGCCCTCCCTCCGGCCGCCTCGCAGCCAATCGCGGCTCTATCTCCGCCCCCAGATCCGCGCTCATTGGCCTCCCTCTCCCGCCCCCTACAGCCTATTGGATCGCCCTGCGGCCCGGCTGCGCCCACTCCGATTGGCTCACAGGCCCCGTCAGTCAAGCGCGAGGGGAGCATTCTTTTCCCATGGACTTGACGGATCCGGAACCTCTAGGACCCCGGAGTCTGGAGAAACAAATCAGAAAGCGGGAGAAACCTGGCCGGGTCCCCCTACGCCGTAGCAACAGCAGGGCCTCCGCTTGACGGACGCTGCGGACCACCAATCCGACGGCCGATGCTGTTTAAAACTAAATCGACCCAAACCAATCCTGGCCATGGAGCTGGGCGCAGCAAGGCGACCAATGGGGTAGCGGGAGCCGCGGACGCACGGCTGGAGGGTCCGGGGGCGGCCGTGATGACGTGCGCCACATTACGTCCCCGCCGCCAGGGGCCGCGCGAGCTGGGGAATTAGCTCAAGTGGTAGAGCGCTCGCTTAGCATGTGAGAGGTAGCGGGATCGATGCCCGCATTCTCCACGGCTGCCTTTTATAGGGCAGCGGGGAGTCGTCCGTCCTCGGCCCTTCCCTTCCAAGTGGTGGTCGTGCCACAGGTGGGGCCCCAGGTGAGGGGTCCGTGCCCCTGGCGGCCCGTCGCCCCGCGGGGGAGGGAAGTGCGCTGGTTGGTGGCATTGCTTTTGTCTTACAGAAGGATTTACACTGGAACCGTTTCCAAAACGCGCGCCCGGACCCCCCATCCACTGCCCGGCCTCCTCGGGCGGGGGTGGGGGCGGGGCCGGGACACAGGGGAGTAGCCCAGCTTGGCCCATCTTAGGCACCTTCTAATAACCTGTCTGGCTTCTCGGTAGGTGCGAGGCTCCTTCCAGAGGCACAAGGAAATCAACCGGAGGGCGGAAGTTGGCCGCAGGGCTGAGCAGCGCAGGCCGGGTGAGGGTGAGGGTCATAGTGGAACCCAGCCACGCGGGGTCGGCGGAACGCCCCAGGGGGCGTGCTGGCCTCTCGTGGGCAGCCCTCGGGTGAGCCCTGTTCTGGGCCCAGCCTGTACGGTGCGTGGGGAGCAGAGGGTCCTGGCTCGGACCGTCTGTGGAGGAGGGTCACACACCCCTTGTAACACAGGGCGGGGGCCCCTCTGGAGCGGGTGGCTTTCAACCCGGGAACGGGGAGGACAGAGCGGTAGGCTCCTGGGTCCAGGTGGCGGGGGGAGAGACCTGAGTCCCCAGGGCCGAGCTGTGGAGCGCTGGGGAGGCCGGCACAGGAGGTGGGGCAGGTGGTGTGACAGGAGGTGGCCGAGGTGGCTACACGGTGCCCAGGCTCAGGTGGGCACCAGGCGGGGCGTCATAACGGGCGCCCGTGCGGGGAGGTTGCCTGTCTCCAAGACTTTAGGGCAGCTCACCCCAGTGGTGCGGCCTGGGCAGGGACCGCCGCCCCTGCTCGCCGCAGGCTGGTTACTGTGAGCTTCCGGGCGCCTCCTGAGAAAAGTGACAAGGGTTTGGCCGCTGCGGGTCGGGAGGGCCAACCAGTGGTGCGGCCACCAGGTTGCCTCGCAGATAGATGCTCGGGATCTTTCTGCGCCCGACACCCCCACCCTTTGCACCCACCCCAGCCGGCCCCCCGGCACCCTCGGTCTCAGGGACTCAGGTGCCCTCTGAGCTCCGGTGCCACACGGGGAGAATGAAACCCCGCCGAGTTGGGTCAATGCCAGTGCCTGGGAAGCCGGGCCTCTGGTGCAAACATGCCCCTCCCCCAGCTCGCCGCTTCCCCGCAGAGCCTGATGCTGACTCTAGGGAGACTGGCGGCTCTATCACAGTAGGGGACTGCTGTCCCCATTTTACAGATTGGGGAACAGAAGCCCAGGAAGCATTCGGGCACCAGGGGTGGGCCATATGGGCCGAGTGAGCTGGGCTGGGTGATCTAACCTCTGAGTCTCCCGTTCTTATCTGTAACGTCCAGTACTGATAATGCCTCCTGGCCTGTGTCCGTGCCCCGAAGTGACCGGACCCCTAGGGAGGCAGCAGCCAATGGCCGGCATTCTTCGCCATTAATCCTGCTGCTCAGAGCGGCTGTGGGCCTGGCCGAAGGCCACACAGCTAGCGAGGAGCACAGTCAGGGTTGAAACCGGTTCAGGTGTGCCGTTGCGGAAGGTTTGGGGGAGGAGAGGTGTGCAGATGACCCGGGGTGGGGCCGGAGCAGGCTGGCCTGGCTGAGAAACCCGCAGAGGAAGGGCGCAGCGTGAACGTTTGTCAGAGGACCCGGTGGAGGCGATCGGGGTCTGGGGGACGGACCCCTGGAGACCCTGGACGATAAGCAAAGGAACTGTTCAGCTGAGGGGACCGGGGCCAGGAAAACCTTCTGCGTAAGAAGGGGCGCGTTCACGGCTGGCCCCACCTTGGAAAGGGCGGATTAGAGCAAGAATAGCAAATCTCTGCTGCAGAAGTAGCTCCCGGCCAGAGGCCAGAGGGCCAGGCCCCAGAGGGGGACGGGGGAGGCAGCAGGGAACCCCTGCACAGGGGGGCGGTGCCTGAGACGGAGGCTGGGCCAGGGCTGGGAGCCTGGGGAGAGCCCAGCCACACACACAGATCCCTTTACTCACTCACCTTCAGAGGACTTGCCAGTACACGCTTCGGGTTCTTTCACCCCAGACTCTTAGGAGGGTCACAGGGACATTTGCCCTGTAATTAAGTGAAATAATACAGTACCTCCCCCAGCATAAGCAGACCCCAAAAGTCTCCAATTATGATGAGCTAACCCAACTGGAAGGGTTGAAGTCAGGGAGGACTTCCTGGAGGAAGAGGAGATATCTGAGCTCAGCCTCTCTCCTGAGGGCCATAGGGAGCCATTGACAAGCTTTAAGCAGGAGAGTGATTTTGAACCTTTGCATTGGCCTCAGCATCATAAAACTTCTCGAGGTTCGTGAATCACCACCTTCCCCCTTTTCCCCCTAATCCTCTTATGGTTTAATTTTTACTGTTTAAATTTCCAATCCATCTAAACATAGAAGTGTAATGAATGCCCACATACCCAGCTATTAGCCTCTTAACTTGTGGGAACAGACACAGAGCTGTCGAGTTCAATTCTATCAAGTCATGATTTTTAAATAAAAATTTTTAAAGTAGTGATTTAAAAAAACACACACCGTATGCTCTTACCATGATTTCTTGAAAGAAAGGACATTTTAACCCATACATACACTCAGAAGAAGGCTTTAAATTGAATGCGCTCAACTTGGGGAAACCGGCCCCCCATTGTCCTTCCTTTTTTAATTTTTTTTTTAGCGTTTTATTTATTTGAGAGAGAGAGAGAGAGAGAGCACTTGAGCAAGGGAGGGTCAGAAAGAGAGGGAGACACAGAATCCAAAACAGGCTCCAGGCTCTGAGCTGTCAGCACAGAACCGTGAGATCAAGACCTGCCTGAGCTCAAGTCCAACACGTAACCGACTCAGCCACCCAGGCGCCTCCCCTTCCCCCCCCCCCCCCCGCCCATTGTCTTTCTTATTGTCATGTCACCAAGCCTCAGATCTGGTCTAAGGGCTGGAGTGAGGCCGCCCTGACGGAGGACATGCCTCAAAGGCCAGGCGGCCGCTGGGCCAAGTCATGTGTCGAAGCTGGAGGGCTGTGGGGCCAGATAGGAAAGGTCTGTCCATTTTAATACGGAAATTTAGTTCTCTTTCTCTTCCTTTAATGCCTTAAGATTGTCTGGGTTGCCAAGGAGGCGAGTACCGTTCTCCCTACCAAGGACTGTTTGTGGCCCAAGGGTTGGTGAAATGGGCAGCCACTAGTGTTGGTCATGATCAAGCTGTCCAGTCCAGCTTACGAGGGGAGAAAAGAGGAGAGGGCATTTGGGGAGGGGAGGGGGGAATCTGGGAGAAGCCCTCGGCGGGACAAGCCAGCAGGATGTCCCTGAGGATGGTCCAATACGGGGTCCCAGTGATGTGAAGAGTCAGCTGAGTGGGTCCCGAGAAGGAACCCCGCAAGAGCCAAGTCCCACCCAGCCCCCCAAGCACCCAGGTTTCTCGGGGACAGAAACGTCCACATCTGCCACACCCCGATTCCCCAGCGTCCTGCCTGGCAGTGACACGGCCAAGATGTGGCCACGTGGGTTCTTCTCATGTGCCCAGGGCAGCTGCTGGACCCCGGGCAAGGAGGAGCCCCTCACCCACTCTGGATGAGGAGCGGGAGGGCTGAGCGGAGCCCGTGGTGGGGCCAGTGGGGAGTGAGAGCCCACAGGACTCAGACCTGGGAAGTCGTGGGTGTCACTGCAGAGGTGAGATGGTTTGGAGGTTTGGACACACAGAGCAGCGTCCAGCTGTCAGTACTACTTACTGTGTCAAGGAACGATTGAACAAATTAGTAAAAAAAAGTCTATTTTCCCCTCAGCCTTGGTTTCCTCAACTGCAACCTGGGGACACCATCTACCTAGCGGGGCCATTGTGAATGAATGTGAATTATTTAAATGAAAGAAGCCATGTTAACTTCACCCCCTTATTTAAGACACAGCTCAGGTAGCAACTCTTCCAGGAAGCCCTCCCTGCTCTCCCATCTACATAGGATATTCTCTCTGGGCCCTGGGATATCTCAGCACAACGCGCTCCCCCTCAGCTCTGGAAACTGTCTGCAGCGCCTTCGAGAGAGGAGCCACTGTCTGATCTCTGGGTCCCCTAGCATGTGACTTACGTGCAGGGCTCTGCACATAGTGGGTGCTTAGTGAAGGCAGACAGATTTACTTGGGGGACAGTAGGCGGCCAGCGGGTTGGGCCCCCGTCCACCCAGCTGACCTCATGGCAGGAAAGGGTCCCGCAGAGTGACCTCTGGAGACATGCCTGGCATGCCGGGGGCGGGGAGGGGTCTCAACCCTCCCTCGGCCCATGCAGGGGGTCACCAGCGGTCAGCAGCACAGGCCGCTTCTCCTCCCCGCTCTTGCCTG